TCCATCCACGGGATTTTCCTGGCAAGCCTACTTCCTCTATTTCATAGCCAGCACGGAGGGTCAGGTCTTAAGCGCACGGCATCTTTTTGACCCAGCTGGAAAATGTCCTCTGCTTTTAAGGAGTCATTTAAGTAGATAAAACAGACCCAGATAATTCAATATACTCTCTCCATCTCAAGGCCCTTGCCTTTACTCACATTGTCAGCGTCCCTTTTGCTCTGAAAGGTGCCAGTCACAGCTTTCAGGGTTAGGGCCTGGACATCTTTGTCCAGGATTGCACACCAGGACTGGGGGCATTATTTGGTCTACTGAGCCCCTCAGGCCAGTACGGCTCCCACACTCTCCGGTTGGGAAACTTCCCGAAGGTCAGGTGGGTTCCAAGTCCACCTTGGCTCTTTGCTCCCAGTGAAGCCGTCCTGTGTCTTTTCTGCGTGCGTCTCAATCTCCTGGTCAGCCAGGGGTGTGCGGAAGATTCATCAGGCCTCTGTAGGGCTGTCTTACTTCCTGAATCCCTGTGTTAAATTTCTGGCGAGTTCTCTGCTCTGTTGCTTTGCACCAACCAGGACTACAATCTCTGGGTAGTGGAACCACTGGGCTTCGCCATTCATGTGCCACCAAGATGGCTGGTTTTACTGACACTGCTGGTGGGCGTGGGTTTGGACTTTCTACTTCAAACCAAGCCTGCTGGCTCTGGCAGCAAAGCTCCTGGGTTGTGGGGGAGGATGAAAATTACCCCAAGCAGGAGCACCACAGACTTCCGATCTTTTAACTCAAATTTAAAAGTTTTTGATGAATTCTTTCTATGGCTTTGGTTGATTTCCAGTTCCCAGAAATAGTTTTTTAGACAATTTGGTTTCTTGTGTTATAGTTGCTTTTGGGGGGAGATGATTTGCCAACCTCCTTATCTGCCACACCAGAAGTCCCACCTCCTGTCTAATCAGAAGATTTAATCCATTTACATTTAGAGTAACGAATGAGATGGTTGGTTTTAAATTTACCTTCTTGGTATTTGCTTTCTATTTGTCCCATTGGTGTATTTTACCTCTCTTTCCTTTTGCCTGCTTTCTTTGGGTTGGTCATCTATTTTTTTTTTTTAAAGCCGTTCGTTTTAAGTTCTCTATTGGTTTTTTAAATATAGCTCTACGTATTTTTTTGCATCAGTCTAGGCAATACAAGTATCCTAAATTTATCAAGTCTACCGTGAAGTAACATTGCATTGGTTCATATAAAATGTAAGAACATTACTATGGTAAAATACCACTTACCCCAACCCATCTTCTGTGCTAGTATGGACATATACATTAAATATACATATGTAATTTACCACACCATAAAATATAATTATCCTTCCCTCGTAGACCCACATTTCCATCTGGTGTCATTTTTCTCCAGCCTGAAGAACAAGAACCTCCTGTAGCATTTCTCATAGTGCAAGTCTGCTGTCAATGAATTTTCTCACATTATGTTCTCCTAAAAATAACTTTCTTTCACTCTAATTTTTGAAGGATATTTTTACTGAATATACCCTTTAGGCAGACTTATTTTTCTTTCTGTATTTTAAAGTCATTGTTCCCTTGTCATCTTGCCTCTCTTATTTACTATGAGCAGTCAACTGATATTTGTATTTTTCCTTTGGCTCTGTTTTAAAATTTTCTTTTTATCTTTGATTTTTGGCAGTTCAACATAGTTTGTCTAGCTATGGTCCTCTTTGTATTGATCCTGTTTGGGGATTGCTGAATCATTTGGATCTATAAGCTAATTTTAGGGGCTTCCTGGTGCTCAGATGGTAAAGAATCTGCTTGCCAGTGCAAGAGACATGGGTTCAATTCCTGGATCGAGAAGATCCCTTGGAGAAGGAAATGGCAACCCACTCCAGTATTCTTGCCTGGGAAATTCCATCAACAGAGGAGCCTGGCCAGCTGCAGTCCATGGAGTTGCAAAAGAGTTGGACACGACTTAGCAGCAGCAGCAGCAGCAGCAACAACAACAACAGAAGTTAATTGAAGAAATTAAACTCAGGAAATATTGGTGATTATGTCTTCAAACATTCTTTTCCTGTCCATTTTCTCTTTCCCCTTCTGGGACTTCAATTATATGCAAGTGTGTACTCAGTCACTCAATTGTGTCTGACTCTTTGCGACACCATGGATTGTAGCCCACCAGGCTCCTCTGTCCATGAAATTCTCGAGGCAAGAACACTGGAGTGGGTTGCCAATTCCTACTTCAGGTGATCTTCCTGACCCAGGGATGGAACCCATGTCTCCTGAATCGGCAGGCAGATTCTTTACCACTAGCACCAACTAGCAAACTTATATGCATATGTCTGCTTAATATCATCTCACAAGTCACCGGGATTCTGTCCCTAACAATTTTTTTCTTTTCTCTATTCCAGTGAGCTTTAAGTTTCCAGGTACTGAACTGTACTTTTCTTTCCTACAGTTTCTATTTTTAACATTTTTTTATTCTTCCACTGTGGTTCCTAGCATTCCACTCATTATGACCATCTTTTCCCTTTAGTCCTTGGACATATTTATCACAGCTGCTTTAAAGTGCTTGTCTGCTAATTTCAGCATCTGGATCATTTTAAGGTCTGTTTGAATGGATTGCTCCCCCATCCTGCTTGTTTATGGTTCACATTCATGCTATAAGTTTTTGTTGTATACTGACTACTTTGGATGATACATTATATTGAGTTTGTCATGTCATCTCTTATGGATGGTGATTTTTGTTCTAAAAGATAGTTGAATTACTAGTAAATTTCTTTGGTCCTGCCAGTCTTGATTTTATTCTTTTATATGGTGGGTCTATGTTATCCTAAAGGAAATGAACCCTGAATATTCATTGGAAGGATTGTTGCTGAGCTGAAGCTGCAATATTTGGCCACCTGATATGGAGAACCAACTCACTGGAAAAGACCTTAATGCTGGGAAAGATTAGAGGGAAAAGGAGAAGGGGGTGGCAGAGGATGAGATGGTTCAATAGTGTCACTGACTCGATGGACATGAATTTGAGCAAACCGTGGAAGATAGTGGAGGACAGAGAAGTCTGGCATGCTGTAGTCCATGGGTCACAAAGAGCTGGACATGACTTAGCGGCTGAACAGCAACAGCAATGTGTCATTTTTGAACTTCACTCTAAGGCATGGTCCTTATTTCCAAGGCTGGTTTCTTTCCTTTTGGATCTTCATTGAATGCCTGAGGTTTTAGCAAGTTTCTTCCCACTGAGCTCTGAGCTTGTCATCAGTCTTTGCTCAGCCTTGTAGAGTCTTGGCCTGCGCATACACAGCCCAGTCCACCGCCAAGAACCCTCTATGTGTCCCCACACGATGTGTGGGCTACTCCCCCAGCATAGCTCTATGACCCTACACATTCCAATTGCTTCAGCTGCCCAGAAGCATTTCTTAGCATGGTGAGATGATTGCTGTTTTGAGATCCCACCTTCCTGGACCAAAGCACAGAGGTGTGTGTCTGAAAGTAGAGCGGGGCTCCCCTCTACCTCAAGTAGAGGTCAAGGTTTATAGTCCTGTGCTGCCTATTATATATAATGCCTGAGAATATTTGACTCATATATTTTGCCCACATTTATCATTGTTTTCAGCATGTCGGACAAGGTGGAAAACCTCATCCCACCTTGAAATTAAGCTAGTTTAATGGTTATACTAATAGAAAGGTTAAAGTTTCTTTGTTATTATTATTATTATTGCCACACCATGGAGCATGAAGGATTTTAGTTCCCTGACCAGGGATTGAACCTGTGACCCCTGCAGTGGAAGCGCAGAGTCCTAACCACTGGACACCAGGGGCCTTCCTAAAGGTCCTTTTATAATCTCTAGGTACTCCAGTGCTTAAACAAGTGCCTTAAACAAGTATTTACTGAATGAATTAATCAATTGCAAAATAAAAATATCCTAGGATTTAAATTGCAAGGAAAAGGTATTTCTTCCTTTATCACCCTAGTTCTTTCCCTCTGCTTTGTCTACTGTTAGTATTTCTTGCATATCCCACCAGAGTTTTTCTATGCATGTCAGATTATGTGTTTGTACAAAATGTTGTTTTCTCTCCTAAATAAATGAAGTCATTCAGTTATCCTGCGGTTTCCTTTTATTTTTTTATTTTTATTTTTTAATATATATCTGGAACACATTTCCATGCCAGCATATACAGACTTTCTCATTTGTTTTAAAAGCTGTCATTTTCCATAGCATAGATATACCATAATTTAGTTAATCAGTTCCCAGTTGATCTAGCCCTCTGTGTTAAGCCTTCTGTAGATTAGAAAAGCAAAGCTTAGCTGACAAGCAGGAACATCCCTGGACAGTCCTCTGGTCAGATTTAACCTCCTTTATCCTGTGAGGCAACTGTGAGCAGGGTTCATACTCAGGATGCTTCACAGAAACATGAGGATGGCGTTTCTGCCCACACAATCAATACAAATGATCAATACAAATGCCACACAGGGCAGATAGTGGCAGGCGGCAGAGAGGAGCAGAGAGCGTCCTGGGAGGTACTGGGGAGAGTGAGAGACAGAGAAAACAACGGGTGATTTCTGGCTTGGAGTGGTGGTGGTCAGGGAAGGCTTCACAGTATTGATGACATTAGAATTAGATCAGAAATGGAGGTGGGGTCTTTTGAAAAAGGGTGCTCCTTTTGAAGAGAACAGCGTGGACACGAGCCCAGACAAGATGTCTGGATGGGGAAAGAAAGACGGCCTGCGCATCCTGCAAGGAGAGAGGAAGGGAACGCAAACTGGGGGAGCAGCTTCAGGCCAGGGGGTCAGTGGTTCTGAGTGAGGCCCTGGGAAGGAGTGGGGACAGAGAGCTCTCCTAAGATTTCTGCTCGTGTTGTCGCCAGGCTCAGAAGACTGGAGTGATAGACCAGGGGCATTTGCTAGAGGAGCGTCTCTAATATTAAGAGCAAATTGCAGCAGATTTGTCGTTGAAACTTCCTCCCGTTTCCTCCTGCATTTGTGTATCTGGATCCACGTCCCTCCTTCATCCCCAGCTCCCTGGTCAGCGGCGTGCGGGCGTGGGTGGACCGCGGGCCACCGCTGCCTCCCTGTGTCGGGTCTGTGAATAGCACTCAGCTCAGCCTCTCGCCCCAGGGCCGCAGAGGGTGGGAGGTCAAGGTGTCAGTCACGTCCTGGGATGGCCAACACCGTCACTCACGGCGATTTTCATCACTTACTCCGGAAGACGACTTCATTAGCAACGGCATCAGGACGAGCGCTCATGTTGCTTGCTGCGCACACAAGTCACACTTCTGTGGGAGGGGACAGGTCTACTTGGAGGAGCTGCCTCAACCAGCCCTCGGGGCTCTGGGCAAGATGTAGAGACCTCTGCCCGCTCCTGTTGGCATCCCGACCCCAGGGCACGGTGCACCGTAAGCCACACTTACCTTTTTGACCAAAGGGAGTTGATAGTTTTCTCTCTGCTTTGATCTTCATATTCTTTTCTAATTGCAACAAGAATTTCTGGATTCACTTCTGGGTTCGCTAGAGGACTTCCTATGAGAAGAATGAGCTAACAGGAATAGGTTCGAAACCCTCCCTGGGAAAAGGGGTAGCTGTGCACAGCCATGCCTCCCTCACAGCCTGAGAGGCCAAGGTCAGTGTCTTCAGCTGAACTTCAAGATGCATCCAGACCTAGCTTCCCTCCCTTCCAGGCCTCAGCTCTGCCACTTCCCTTCTGCACATCACAGCTCAGTCCAAGGCGCCGCACATGTTTGCTCAGCCTGGAAGACTCTTTGCCCGGTCTTCATTTTGGCACATGGCATCCTTCTGTAGGGTTCCGATGTACCCACCAGACTCAGATCACACACACCACCTCTTCAGGTCTTTCCCGAGCCTGAAGTCAGCACGTTCCCCAGAGTTCAATGATTTGTACGTATCTCCTTAATGTCCCGGCATGGTGGCCAGGCACAGCGGAGGCACCTAGGGAGTATTTGTGGGTGAAACATAAATCGTCCCAGGTCTTGAACAGGACGGAAGCCCCAAAGGGAGGGGATATATATATGTACATGGATGGCTGATTCATTTTGCTGTACAGTAGAAGCTAACACGATACTGTAAAGAAACTATACTCCAATAAAAATTGACTTTAAAAAAGAAATAGAAGCCCACAGTCAGAAAACAGCTTTGTAAATGCACAACCACTGACACTGTGCCCATTCTATGTGCTGATTCAGTGGCAGGAAGATCCACGGATAGCTTTAATATTGAACCATGCCGCTGCTGCTGCTGCTAAGTCGCCTCAGTCGTGTCCAACTCTGTGCGACCCCAGAGATGGCAGCCCACCAGGCTCCCCTTTCCTGACATTCTCCAGGCAAGAACACTGGAGTGGGTTGCCATTTCCTTCCCCAATGCATGAAAGTGAAAAGTGAAAGTGAAGTCGCTCAGTCATGTCCAACTCTTAGCGACCCCATGGACCATAGCCTACCAGGCTCCTCCGTCCATGGGATTTTCCAGGCAAGAGTACTGAAGTGGGTTGCCACTGCCTTCTCTGATACTTAACTATAAACTCTTTTAATAGCATATTGTGATGCTTGACATTTAAAAGGTGCTTTTAAAAAGCTTGAAACTGGGCAGTTTTTCTTAGGAACTTAGATATAATTCATTAAAATCTTTTTTTGTTGTTCAGTTGCTCATTTGTGCCCAACACTTTTGCGGCCCCATGGACTGTAGCCCACCAGGCTCCTCTGTCCATGGGATTCTCCAGGCAAGAATCCTGGAATGGGCTGTCATTTTCCTTCTCCAAATCATGTTTTAGAAGGTCTTTTAAAGACCATTTAAAGTTAGTAAGTTAGTTCTTGAAATTTTAAAAAACTGTACCAGAGAGAGGCATCTTAATGGACATGTTTGTCAAAGGGAAAGGAAAATGATTATTTTTATGACATGGGCATGTGTTTATGTTTGCATGTTTATTAAAAATAAAAGCAAAATGGAAATTAAAAAATAAATGGTCCCAGGTCTGTGATTTGGGAGGTGGCTAAGATGATGAATGCATAGTGACTTGAAGAGGCAGAAGGTTAGAGAGAAGGAAGCAAAATAAGAGAAGGCTCGTGAAGGGCATTTAAGCCCTGAATGTGCCCCAAACCAACACCAAGGAAGAGAGGAGACACCTTTTCCCTCCGGCTGTCACCACGGGTCTCCTTCTTGCTCTAGGGCCTCCTCGTCAACGTTCCTCTTGGTTTACACCCGTGCCCTCCTTGAGTCTATCTCCTCCCCATCCCCAACTTGGGACTGACTTTGGGAGCCAAGGGACCTTGATTGCTTTGAGCCCCTGAAACCCAAAGGCCAGGTGCAAATCCACGATCCACAATTTATTCGTTGGCCTGGAGTCTTAGGCTAACTCCTTCACCTCCTGGAACCTCCGTTTCCTTGATTGTAAAATTAATGTGGTTATATTGATTTTCTCTGTGTTCCTCAGAAAGCTAGCCTGAAAAATCACACTCAATAATGGATATGAAATTGCTTCCTGGATATACTGTAGATGATTATTGTAATAATTACTATAAAGGTGGTAGTGGTGGAGGAGGTTTTGTCGCTAAGTTGTGTCCAACAGTTTCATGACCCCATGGACTGTAGCCTGCCAGCCTCCTCTGTTCATGGCATTTTCCAGGCAAGAATACTGAAGTGGGTTGGCATGCGGTCCTCCAGGAAATCTTCCTGACCCAGGGGTCCAATCTAAGTGTCCTGCGTTGAAAGTGGATTCTCTACTCCTGAGCCACCAGGGAAGCCATTCTAGTAGTAACTGATAAAAATAAATTCATGGAATATGGTATTCCCTACATTTCTTTCCTGAAAGCTGAGGTCAAAAGAATGGCAGAATCTAGGGGTGGGCAAATGTGTTGAACTAATCTGAGGAAATGAAGCAAAGCTTAATGCTTTCACCCTCCCTGAACAGGAAGCAGAGTGCCCTGCCCTGAGCCCGCGGGCCTCCTGTATCACATGGAGCCCTGGAGCAGAGGCACCTCCCAGGTAAGAGTCTGGGGCTTGGTGTCCTGTGACATGGACTCACAGCCCATCTCTGCCAGCTGGGCAGTTACTGTCAACAGCGGTTTAGCCTGCTTGAGCTTCCGTCTCTGTAGGGAAGGGGAGTGGTTTCAACAATGGTTCTCTGCTCAGCTTGCGGCTGCTGGGCGCCATGGTCCCTGTAAAGCCCTCCGCACAGCGGCTGGCCGACAGTAAAGGTCAGCGCTGATCCTTTCCTGTTAGCTTCCTGCTTGTGGGGGCTGACGGTTCTGCTTTTGCTCTCACCTTGAATTCAGTAACGAGGCTCAATGATGACCAGGCAGACAGCAAGGAGAAAAACCTCTAATGAGCTATCGGCTCATAATGGAGGACAGAAAGGATCTCAGCCATTCTCTAGTCCGATTCCCTCATTAAAAAAATGGCAAGACTGAAGCCGAGGGAGGAAATATTTCTCCCAAGATTACATAAGAAATTCAGTCCAATATATCGACTCTTCTCCTGCCTATTACACTCCAAGCATAATCCACACTTCTGTGGATGTGTGGATCAATAAGAAATAGTGATTGCCTCTGCACAATATTTCCCAAAGTGTGTAGCATGCAAAATAAAGCTATCATGGGCAGAATTTAACCCAGAAAACGCAGGATTAAATAAAACAAAGCAGATTTCTGTTTTTGCTTTGTACTTTGCTCATCTCTAAGAGGGAGCTTTCCTTATGCAGCAGATGACAGAAGTTTTAAAAAATTTTTTTTCCTCTTGAGTCCGTCTTTGGGATTTGTTCTCTGTGGGACACCTAGGGAAATGTGACTTCAGACAGAAGTTCACAGAGTACCGAGTGGGGATATCTGAGCATGGATTTGTGAGGAGTTCATTGGTGATGAGGCAGAGATGAGATGCAGACTAGTGCTCCAGGGGACCTACCTTGAGGGCACAGAGCCTTCTTCCCTCTGCCTTCTGCTTTTATGTAGATCAAACCTCCTTTCAAGGAAAAATGAGAGCAGTCTTAATCAAGGCCCAAGAGCATGCACTTGCTATGATGCCTGTGGGGGGTACCCAGCTTCCTTTCCCTTGTTACGTTACCAGCACTCACATATTCAGTTCTAATATCAACCCTTTGAGGTTGGCACTATTAATACCCCACTGTATAGACAAGGAAACAGGCACAGATGGTTCAAGGACTTGCTCAAGGTCATCTAGCAAGTGAGTACAGGATCTGAAGCTTGAATCTAAGCCATCAGTTCCAGTCTGGGCTTGGAAGCTAAATAGGAATAGGGGTGGTTTTGACTGCCATGTGATTCCTCCTTGCCTTCATCCTATGAACAGATCTAGGATTCGTTATTCAGGAAGTCTAGGATTCGTTATTCAGGAAGTATATCCTGGCTAGTGCTTTGATCTGCTGTGTGGTCACAGGTCTTGGAGTAGAGGAATTCTTGGGATGGGCCTCCTTCCTGCGTGTGTCTACCTTTCCCCATCCCAAGGATTTGCTCAGATACCACTGTCTCTATGTTTACTGCCCTCTCTGCTCAGTACTTTGCTAACAGTTGGTTGGAACACTTTCTGTGTGTGTCCCTGTTTCCAAGTTATTGGCAAGATCTACAGATGTCCCCTAGACAAGTCACAACTGTTTGAAGGTAGAGAGCTGTTGTTTTGTAAAAAAAATCTTAAAAAAAAATTTTTTTTAAAAATGTGGATGATATTTATCTATTTAATTATTTTTGGCTGCGCTGGGTCTTCATGAGAACTTTCTGTAGCTGCAGTGTGTGGAGGCTACTCTCTTGTTGCAGAGCATGAGCTCCAAGTGTGCAGGCTCAGTAGCTGTGGCGAACGGGCTTAGCTTCTCTGGGCCTGATGGGATCTTCTGGGACCAGGGATTGAACCCATGTCCCCTTAATTGGCAGGTGTATACTTAACCACTGATCCACAGGGAAAGTCCCTGGACTGTGTTTGGAAGATTGTAATCCGTAAAATTTTGCTTCTGTTTTCTGTTTTGGTTTTTTGGCCTCGATGCATGTAGGATCTTAGCTCCTCAACCAGGGATCGAACCCATACTACTTACATTGGAAGGTAAAGTCTTAACCACTGGGCCACCAGGAAAGTCCCTGAGAGCAGTTCTTATTCCCTATGCCCAGATTACTTACCTCAGAGCTTTGCTTAGTCATTACTATTACATGAATGAATGAATGAATTCAGAACTTTTGAAGAGAATGTAAAAAACTCCCTGAAAAGTGGAAACATCACATGTGGAAGTCACTTAGTGCCGTTCCCTAAATATTTCCGTTGTCCCACCTTCTAAGCATGTGATAGGAATGTCTGTGGGAGAAGGCGAGGGTGAGATGTTTCAAGAGAACAGCATCGAAACATGTATATTATCTAGGGTGAAACAGATCACCAGCCCAGGTTGGGTGCATAAGACAAGTGCTCGGGCCTGGTACACTGGGAAGACCCAGAGGGATCGGGTAGAGAGGGAGGTGGGAGGGGGGATCGGGATGGGGAATACATGTAAATCCATGGCTGATTCATGTCAATGTATGACAAAATCCACTACAATATTGTAAAGTAATTAGCCTCCAACTAATAAAAACAAATGAAAAAAAATGGCAGTCCTTCACTTTCTTTGAAATTATACATTGTTGTGTAATCTCTTTTGAGAAATGAGATGTGAGCAGAAACGGTATGAGCATTCCTTCTGGGGAAGAGAGTTAAAAGCCAGTGCACAGTTCAGCACTTTCCTTCTGTCATGACGATGCAGTGTCTCAGATGATGGAACACGGCGCTGGCGGTTCTGCCAGCCTGGGTGTGGGAGTAGTTGGAGGAGAGGACTCAGACGACTCACAAGGATCTGTAGCACAGATGAGCATGGAACCTCTGCGATTTTAAGCTACAGGAAATTGTTTTTGGGTGGGGGGAGATGAATATATTTATTAGCAATTTTAGTGGATGATTCCAAAGGAGTATGTGTGCTGTGCTATGCTAAGTCGCTTCAGTTGTGTCCGACTCTTTGAGACCCCATGGACTGTACTCACCAGGCTCCTCTGTCTAGGAGATATTCCAGGCAAGAATACTGGAGTGGGTTGCCATGCCATCCTCCAGGGGATCTTCCTGACCCAGGGATTGAACCCGGGTGTCCTGCACTGCAGGCAGATTTTTTACTGTCTGAGCCCCCAGGGACGTCCCCAAAGGAGTACACATAGGTATACAAGTTATCGAGTTGCATGCTTTAAATACGTGCAGTGTATGGCCTACAAATTATATTCTAATAAAGTTGCTAAAAAGAAAATACTCAAATCCATAGTTTATTTGAGGGCTTCAAAAAAGGAGAAAATCTTTATGACTCTAGATGTTATATTTTTATTCTAAGCAAGTATTTAAATATTTTCTTCATGTAACATTGCTTATTTTTTTTTTAATGTCTTGAGCAAGATTTAGTTTCTAACTTGAAAAATCAGTAAAGAGAATTATTATAGCTCTTTTCAGGGGAAGATGACTATATTTTTAGTTCAAAATTACCTTCAGGGAACCAGGAGTAATGTGCCCAGTGATACCTTATACTGATAGAGACGCTGAACTGATAGATGTCTGGTATTGGGTTAGGTGCAGATCACTGCTAGTGTGATTTAACCCAGAGGATAAATTACCTTTATAAGCGATAGGGATTTTTAATGCTGTTTAATGTTTAATGTTGCAGCATAACCTAGCTTATCTGGATTGATGTACCATAGAAGATCTTCTGGGGGACGATTTTGAAAATGAACATCATTGTTGCCAAGCATGAGCAGAGAGAAGACAGGAAGGGGAATCTGAATTAGCGGCAAAGTGCTGTTCTTATCAGTTCAAAATCCAGTCTGAGGGGTAGAATGGGGCTCTCTGTGTGGGACCCAGAGAGATGCTAACTGGACCTGGAAGGGCCATTTGGTCTGTGCGCCGTGGCTAGGGAGGTGGCGAGGAGCCAGGCTTGTGGGTGATGTGTGAAGGCGTGGGTGGGGTGCAGAGGTCACAACAGCGCTGCATGTCCTCCTGCACTCATAGAGTGCTTTTCAAATTTTGCATTCATTGCCATTATTTAAAAACCTTGATTTTTGACTTCTCTGGAAAAATCAGACGACCTGGGTGATGGAGGATGAAACTTCTTAAGACACAGTGTATCTGCTATAGGTCCCTACTGTCTGCAGCCACACTTGCTTCATTCATTTCGCTACTTGCCGGACTCCTGGGACCATTGGAATTGCAGATCCCTGTATGACTTGGACTTGGGAACCTAGTCTCAACCTATGTTCTATTTATGAACTGTTTTTAGAAGCAAAGCCAAGCACCTCCCTCTCTGAAAGGCAGTGGGTCTTTCCAGCAATAAAGAGGATTGTCTCAGGATCAGTTTCCGTGCCTAAAAGAACAAGGATGTGCCAAATCTTGACATATCTTGCCAGGCAGAAGGTAAAATCATTCTGGGTTGAGAGTCAAGATAGGGACATTGAAACCAGGCGTTCTTTTTATTTTTTTAAATTAAATCTGGTTGGTGTGTAGTTGCTTTCCCACGTTGTGTTATTTTCTGCTGTAAGGCAAAGTGAACCAGTCATCCATATACGTGCGCCCCCTCCTTTTTGGATTTCCTTTCCTTTAGGTCACCACAGAGCCCTGAGCAGAGATCCTTGTGCGGTAGAGTGGGTTCTCACTGGTTATCCATTTTATGTACAGTATTAATGGTGTAAATATGTCAGTCCCGGAGACACGATTGGGAGGTCTTTGGTCTGGCCCTGTTGGCACGTTAGCTAGGGCCACTTTCTCTTTCTGTAAACGGGCAGGATGGAGAGAAGCCGTGGAGGTCTGTGCGAGAGAAAGTGGGAAGTGGTCAGGACGCGGACCGCGGAGAGGTCTGCGCGCCGAGGAGGAAGTTACATTCAGACCTCCGAGAAACTCTTCCGGAGATACATCGGCTCAGCAGATGAAAGAAGATGTGGCGCAAACCCCGGGGGACCAAAGGCACTGGAGGAAACCCAGGCGGGCTTGGGAGATAAGTCAGGGGGAGAAGACAAAGGCAGCTAAATTTAAACGGAGAGAAAGGCTGTCTCAGCAGGGCCGGCGGCGTCTATAAATACCTGGATGGCAGCAAGCTCCAAAAAGAAAGGGAGAATTATTCCCTGCCTCCCCAGATGCAGGACACGGCCAGAGGCCACAAGGAAGCGGTGATGGCGTCAGCCTGCGGGCCGTGGGGAATAAAGCCGTTTTTGTGCCGAGGGAGAAGCTGGGCAGTGTGCGGGGACGCAGGTCCTGAGCGCCTGCTAGCAGAGGGACCTCCTCCAGGCCTCCTGGGGCCGCCGGGCCAGGAGGGACCGCCAGAGCCTCGCACAGCTGCCCTCTGCTGACCCGGAGGAGTCCCGTTGGAGGGAAGGAGCCCCGAAACTGATCGCTGGCCTTCCAAGTCTCATCCCTTCCCTAGCTACCATTTCCCTCTTTGTAAAATGGGGATCACTGCTGGTGACCTCCCAGGGAGAGTCTGAGGATCAGACGAGTCTGAGAAAGGGCTTTGGAAGCCCTCAAGCCCGTGACAGACGGAAGGCACTGCGCTCTGCCCGACAATCAGCGGCCTCCGTTTTCCCCAGGCCCCATGGCTAAGCGGGTCAGGGGCGTCATTAAAGGGCAGGAACCCTTTCCAGTTACTCTCCCTCTCTCCCTCCTTTGCTCTCAGGATCCCTGGTGTTCCTTCTTCAAACATTCCTTGATGTGCGGGCACTGCCTGGGGCCCTGGCGACACGTCTCAGAGCAGCTCAGAGTCCCGTCTTGAAGGAGGTGATGGTTCAACCGGAAGGGGAGGGCGCCACCCCAGATAACTTCCTTCTGGTGCAGATAGCACTGCCGCGGAGGCACGGGCTTAGCTGCAGGTGACTGGGGAGGAGCGGTGTGGGCCGGGCAGGAGGGACAGTGTGTGGAGGAGAGCTGTGGGCCAGGGAGGAGGAATGGTGTGAGGCCATGTACAGACGGGGGAACAGCACACTGCGAGGTAGGGAACGGCCCGCAGTCCAGTGAGGGCCACAGCATGGGCTGTGTCTCCCGCAGCAAGGGTTGAGATGATGCTGGAGGGGGACCCAGGGCTGTGTTGAGGGGTTTTGCAGGCTGGGCCAAAGACACATGCCCTGTCTGCAGAGGGGATTCCCTGAAGGGTCCAGAGCAGGGAGTACCAAGACGGCCTTTCCATTTCAGAAAGCTCTCTCTGAGAACTTCCCCGGGTGGTCCAGTGGTGAAGCATCCGCCTTGCAGTTATGAGTTTGAGGGGTATGAGTTTGATCCCTGGTAGAGGAACTAAGTTCTCACGTGCTTTGGAGCAATTAAGCCCACATGCCTCAACCAGGACCTGAGGCAGCCAAATAAATATTTAAAAAGGTAAGAATTAAAAAAAAAAAAAGAAAGCTCCCTCTATAGTCAGTGTGGGTGGACTGAGGTAAGTGGTCTGAGCGGAGCACCACCCATTCTCCGGATATGTGTTTGCCAGGTGTGATCAATCGGAGAAACCTGAGTCGCCAGAGCTCATGGGGAGAGGGAAAGGGTGAAGCTTGGGCTGAGCTGAGACCCTGAGTGAGGGCACTCATTACCGGAGGGCAGGTGTCCAGGAGATCGCCGAGCTCGGGCTTCCTGGCTGAGGCTGGAGTTAATACACTCCTCCCGTCCCATTCTTATCCGAGGCGGAAACGCCACCTCGGGGCCCAGTTTCCAGAACCCAGCTGCAGGGCCAAGTGCCTCTTCTCACTCCTTCTTTCTGCCCGCTTGCATTCCTATTTGAGAAAGGAGGGCCGTGGGCTGGGTAGAGTCATGCCATCATGAAAACTCCCACGTGAAATGATCATGTATTTGTGTCTCGGAATCTTCTGGAACTCTTCCATCTTTGTCTCTATCTCGCCTAACTTCCCTGTGCATATGGTTCGCCTCTCCTGTCCCCTCCGATTCCTTGATGACCGCAGGGTGTTATCTTGTTCACTCTGTTTCTCTCTGAATACACAGCCTACATATGAGCTGAGGCTGATTCTAACTGCTCTGCTGCTCAGAGAATTTCCTGGTTATTGGCTTCAGTTGTCTGAAATAAAAACTCTGCTGTTTATCGAAGGATGACACCAGCCCCCTGTGCAGGGTGGGGCCTGCAAAGAAGTACACAGGTGGAGCCTCACCCATGCCAGGCACAGGCCACATGGGCCTGTAACAGACTCACCCAAAACAAAACAAAACAAAAACCCTCAAACCAGACAACAACTCCCCAAGCAGAGAATTTCATGGTGGAAGAGGCTCTAAAGATCATGCAGTAGACATATTTGGAGGGCACACTCAATTCCCACAATCTAACCAGAGACTAGTCCTTCTGCTTTGCTGTCCCCTTCCCACACGTGCAGAAATGGACTCTAGTAGTGATATTTTTATTACATAATCTTTCGACTGCAGTCTCCACTGATGGGGCAACAGGTGGACACCTGACTCAGGAAAAACAACCCAGAGGATGAGCTGGTCCAATCAGACCATCTCCAGAATATTTGGAGCTTGGTTGCAGAAGGAATTGTTTAGCTTGCTGGGGGTCTGGTGCGTCTCTGGCCACGCTGAAATGAGGGCTGAGCGAGCCATGTTGGGTCATCATGGGGCCTGTGTGAGCAAGGCAGAATTTATTTGCAGGGAGAATAGGTTAGAAACGAATTGAATGACCGAGAAAGAGAGTGAAAAAGGGACAGAGAAAGAGAAGCAAGAGAAAGAAAGGAAAAAAGGGAGGGAGAGACACAAGGATAAAGAACTTGCTTTGGTCCCTGAGTAACTTGGTGTCTTGGGTGCTCCTGCTCTTGGCTTCTGTAAGACACTCCTCTGTTCTGGTAAACTCCTTTTGTTTGGGTTAGTTTGGACAGGTACCTTGTAACCACGTTATTAGACAACTAGACTTGTTCCTCCAGGAGCAAGCAAAATTGTAACTAGAAATGTCCAGACCTCTTACTCTTTTGGAAAGCCTGTGAAAGAATTCCATCATGAGCTTTCTTTTTAACCCTTTCAATATCTCATCCCCTCTGGTTAGGAAGTCCTTCTTGAGGTCCAGTCTGAACGTCTCTTGTCACATTTCAAGCTAACTACTTTTGTTCTATGATAGGCCATTTTCTCTTTATCTTCTATTCTTTTTTCCTTACAGTAACTTGCACATAGTAGATGCTTATACATTTTTTTTCCCCTATTGAATAGAGAATGGTGCCCGTGGGGCCCAGGAAACATCAGTTACTGCTTCTGAGACATTACAGAGCCGTTGGCGAGGAAGTCGAGATGGGCAGTACCCATGGCTTCTCAATATTCGAATGAGGACAGCACCTGGTGAAAAAGTGAGACGAACAGGCTCACGAGCAGGACCGTGGAATTCCCTCTCTGCGCAAGTGAATTCTCTGCTGGATCTTTGTGGTTCCCTTTGGGTCACACTCCGTGTTTCTAACCAGGATGGATCCACAGGAACAACAGAGTCCAGTTAGCTGTGGACTCAGCTCCATGTGGAGGAAACTCTTCCCGTCACCCTGTCTGTTCTGCGAGGACAGAAAGAGTCTCAGCAGGTTCCCACTCCCCTGAGATCACAGCGCTGCGAGGCTTCGGGCCGGATGGTAAATGCCACTCTTCTGAGTCTAATGCGGGCAAACAGCCCCTTGGCCTTAATGGAGTTGGAAAAAGTAAGAAGCTCGCATGCCATTTTCCCCGTGAAATAAAAAACAGTCTTATATCTTCATATAGGTGGTGTTTGGACCCTCCTGTGAAAAGAAATTGGTTTTTTCCTCTTGCAAGCTTTGGGTTTCTATCTCGCAAGATTGTAAGAGTTGTCACAGCCTGCATGGGATCTGAACTTAATGCCACCGGGGTTGATCAATGCTAAAGCAATTGGAGACAGGGGAGCTAAGCATCTTTCACTGGGAAAGGGCAATTGCCTTTTATTGACTTGATTTTCAGGAAGCTTTCCTGATGTAGGTGACTGTGGCATTGGCTTAGTGTTGGCTGTTGAAACAGAGGCTCTCTGCAAAGGCAGGGCTGAGCTGTGTAGAAAGAAGCCCCTCAGTCTGGAGGAGTGTAGCGACAGCAGAATGGGGCTTATAGCTGAGCCTAGCCTCGTCCATGACTGTTTTGTTTGGGATGCATAAAACATTACATTAAAAAAAATTTTTTTTTAGCCAGTGCTAGAAAATAAGACAATTTCACATAAAGATCTGGATTTCCTATTGTTTAAAAAAAAAAGAAACACCTCTGGCTATGCTGGAACCTGTTCTATGTCAACAACTGGCTACACCCCAATAGTGTGTGTGTTCAGACATTCAGTTGTGTCCAATTCTTTGTGACTCCATGGACTCCCACCAGGCTCCTCTGTCCATGGGATTCTCCAGGCAAGAATATACTGCAGTGGGTTGCCATTTCCTTCTCCAGGAGACCTTTCTGACCCAGGGGTCAAACCCGCGTCTCCTGTGTCACTGAGCCAACCCAAATAGTAGTGCTCCCTTCAAATAAGTCATGTGTACTTTGGTTCATCACAGTTCCCTCCACCACATGTGGTCTGGTACCCCTTTTACTTCACTTATTATCCTAGTAAACATTTTAGTTTGTGATCCATTAAGTAATGGAAATAGCACTGCACTGGCAATAGAAGACCTGAATGCTAGTTCTGATGCCAAGATGCTGCAGTGGTATTGGGCAAGTCTCTTAAGCTCACTACACCTTTGCTAACTCATACATGAGAGGTAATATTGTTTTACCACGTGAAAGTGTTTGGAATAATTGATTCACTCATCCATCTGCTCATTCGGTTAATGTTTACTGCATATATACATTATATGCTCAGTAATGGAGCAGTGTAGCCCAGGCAGATGTCGTGGAGGAGGAAATAGTTAATTACATAAGGGGGGGAATACAAGCTACCCTGAAGTCACACTGCAAGAACACTTTACCCAGTCTAGGGTGCAAGGAAGGCCTTCGGGAGGACGTGAGGTTGAAATTGAGACTTGAAGGATGAGCTGCCGTGGGTAAGGGAAGGAGAAGGGTGACCTGGGCAGAGGAGACAGCATGTACCAAGGCTGGGAGCAAGAGAAAGCAAGGTGTATTTGAGGAACTTACAGGAACGTGATGTAGCTGGAAAAGGATGGAAGGTGAAAAAACAGCTGGAGTTTGAGAGGTGAACGAGGCCAGATTATGAGGGGTTTGGTGCCAGAAAGGGCTCCGGCCAGTTTAAGTCTAGGGCTTCTAGTTTTGAGACTTGTCTGCCTCTCTAGCTATTCAAGAAGGAGAAATGGCAAGTCGATGGGTGGACAGATTCCCGGTATTGGCATGAGAGACAGAAAACTTTTCTCAAAGAGTAAGCAAAGAAAACAATTATTAGCTAGTCAGTGATGGATCATGGTTGAGTCTGATGCAACTAACTTGTCACTGAAATGCACTTATAGCTAGCAAATAGAACACACGATAAAAACTACTTGTAATAAATCATGTTTTAGTAGGAAATAAAAACTGCCTGGCTCAGCTCTTTCTGTCTTTTATCTTGACAACAGTTACTATTTGCTGTCAATTAACTGAATTGCTGGCCAAAAAAAAAAAAAAAAAGCAAACAAACATCTGAAAAATTAATCAGCTTCCTAATGGGTTTCCCAGAAAACCCATTCTTCTCAGACTGGTAATGGTAGCTACATAAATGTTGCCTGGGTAACATTTAAATATAAAGATAGTAACAGAAGGAAATAATCACCTAGGGCACTTTTAAAACTTGATCTAAGTTTCTGAAAATCTAGGCTTTGTTAAAGTCTAATGTAAGAATTATTTGGACGTCCAAGGTGGCGCTAATGGTAAAGGACCTGTGTGCCAATGCAGGAGACATCGGAGACACGGGTTTGATCCCTGGGTTGTAAAGA